TCTTTTTTTTTTTTTTTTGAGAGATTTTTGCTATAGGGTGCATGTGCTCACCAGAAAGACAGAAAAATCCCTCCTTTATTCTGCTCTCAGGATTTTGGGCATGTGTGCACACATGCCCAGTGTGAGTTTTAAGCCAGCGGATCTGGGACTCACACCGCAGTCAGCCATGTGGGAGTTCAGCACCTTACCACTACTCCATCTGCTGGCCTCAAGATTCATTCTTTTGAATGTGGATTTCCAGTTTCCCTAGCATCATTTGTTGAAAAGACTATCCTTTCTTTATTATGTGGTATTTCCATTCATGAAATGGGAAGTCAGGTGTGAAGAGTGAAAGAAAAGTGTTGACATATATTTCCAAGTAGAATGTAGTAAAGATGCACATTGTAGTCCCCAGAGCAACCACTGAAAAAAGAACAGAGGCAGAGTTAATACACCAGCAGAAAAAAGGAAACTATCTCAACACAGAATAGGCCATAGTTAAAACATCCATAACCAACATCATACTCAATGACAAAAAGCTTCAAAAACCATCTAAACATGATTGCAAAACAATACGATCATAAACATCATCATAAAGCAATATAGTGCACACAAGCTATGTGCCTAACCCAGGCATATCCCAGCAATCTCCATGGAGACTAGGGAGCCTCTGGGCATCTGTGGATACTCTAAGTCGAAGTAAGTGGGTTCCAAGTTGCCATCCTCAACAGCTGGCATATTTTGTGTGTACTCTTGATAGGGACAGAGAAAAGTGGATCCCTCTTTACATTGACCTTTAAAATGGGGAGTTCTTAACATATGCTAAAGTGAGCCCAGGGACCTCCCCCAAGGTAAGCCATCTGGACCTGCCTGTTATTCTGGTTCTACAGTCCAGAAGACCGTGGCTCACTCAGGACTTGACAGAGTACATCAAGCTGGCTCTCCTGCCTCCATGGGTCCTCACCAGAGATATAGATTCTCCTTCTGATGGATATGATGCTTGGTGCTAAAGCAGCCTATCAGCTCATCAGCATATTTTATTCTTTCTTTTATCTGTTTAGAACAACGATAATATTCTACAATTCAAATAAGAACATCATATTATTGAAATAACAAACATTTCAAATGAATTTTATTTTTCTTATTTTATTAATAAGAAAAAATTTTTAAAAATTAGTTGTAAAAGTGTTAACTTTTATTAGAAAAGTGAAGCCCAGTCTTTGTCCAAATCAACTGAGAGAGGAATTAAGCTGATGTGTTTCCTTTCTTGCAGTACAATCTAGAAAATGGTACAGTGGGGGCAAGCCCATGGCCTTGTGGTTAAGGCAGCTGAAACCCATATGGCTGACTGCTCAGTCTGAGTCCTCCACTGGTGGCTTAAGAAACATGCCAGGTATGTGGGACCAGCAGATGGCGTAATGGTTACATTGCTGGACTCCCAGGTAGTCAACTGTGGTTCCAGTTTCCCAGACCTGGCTGCTTAAAAGTCCTGATGGGCGTGTGTGCTTGCATACTCAGAATCCTGAGAGGAGGATGGAGAAGAAGGGACTGTGGTGTGGCCATTTCCCCCTTCCCCCCAGGGGGGTGATTTCTGGTTTTCTGTCTCTCCAGGAAGTGCCTGCACCCTATAGCAAAACAAATCTCTCGTTTTTTTTTTTTTTTTTCTTTTTGGAGAGGTTTTTGCCATAGGGCGCATGCGCTCGCCAGACAGAGACAGAGAGACAGAGAGAAAGCGAGAAATCACCCCCCAGGGGGGATGGCCACGCCACAATCCCTTTTCCTCCATTCTCCTCTTGGGATCTTGGGCACACACGCACACGCACCTGGCGTGAGTTTTAAGCCACCAGGTCCGGGATGCGAACCGTGGTCGACTACATGGGAGTCCAGCGACATAGCCATTACGCCAACTGCTGGTCCCAACAAATCTCTCTTAAAAAAAAAAAAAAGAAAGAAAAAGTGAAAGAAAGAAAAAAAGAAAGATGTCAGATGTGTATATGTGTGTGCCAAAAAATCCTCAAACAAAAAAAAGGTGGAGGAAATGGAATTGCAGTATCATCATTCCCTATGGGGGTGGGAGGTGTTTTTTCCTGTCCCTCTTTCTGTGTCTCTCCATCTCTTTCTGGCAAGCATATATGCCCTCTAGCCAACCAGACAAAAACAAAACAAAACAAAAAAAGGAAAGGAAAGAAAAGAAGAGAAGAAAGATAAAAAGAAAGTGACAAGTAACTTCGTGTGAGAGCTTGATTCTAGACACAGTCAAACAAGAAAAGAAGAAAAGGTACAGGCAGAGGGTAGGGTAGAAGCATTTTAGTATCGATCAAAATTAGAGTGGCTGCTGTGTGTCTCTAGTTCTTGTAAAGCTTTGCCCAGAGCCTTGTACATTTCATCAGGACCCAGGCAACATTATAAAGCCAATAATATCTATGCTTGTTAAGTCTTTGCTACTGGCCATGCACATTTTATAAACCTTTACATACATGTGGGCATTTAATTTGACATCGAATGGAAGAATCGCTCTGGGGAGTCCCTGGAATCTGAGGACCTAGTGCTATTGCTGTTCCTCACACCCTTGTGCCTGGCTCCTCTTCGCTCCTCTTGGTGTGGAGCCTTAGCTGCCTCTAATTCCTCCCTCTGCCTACTGTCCTGGAGCCTGCATAGCTCTTTCTAGCTCTACTCTTCCACCTCAAACTTGCCTCCTCCAGCTCCCTCTTGAGGCAATACTGCCTCAAACCACCCAACCTGGCTTCTCGTTGACCAACTCTGAGCCTTCTCTGTATGACTTCCATGAACTATGTTCTTCTACAGCTGGATCCAGGCACCTGCTGTTTAGTCTTATTTTAAAATAAAATAATAACACTGCATAGAAATGCTTATAAGAAAAAAAGAAGCGGCTAAAACCTGGACAAAGCCATTTGTTTTAAAATATCCAGGCTACGGAGACCATGCGGGGAAGTTCACAAATAGACCCTTGGGGATTTATTGTCTCTTGTTTATGTACTGAGTAGAGAGGTTTGTGTTAGTAAATTTAAGTGGCAAAGTCAGAAAGTTTAAATTAGGCGAAGACGTGGGATAACATCAAATTAAAAGATGACCCTTTTCCTTGGCCCCTCCCTTTGGTTAGCCCGACTGCAAAGTTAGTGGGACTTTGTCATCTTCTAAAATTCCACCTCTCTGCGGGTGTTTGTATTTCTGGAACATTCACCGAAAATAATCAGGTTGTGCTCTCACCCCTAGTGTTAATTCTGGGTTGTTTGGGAACTCAATTTATCTGAAGGAGTCACTCTCTGGACTTTCTAGTAAAGGGTGAGCATGGATGTTTTGAAAAAGGGGGTGCTGTTCCTTTAAATTCTGAAAGTGAACTTGGCTCAGGAAGGCCAGCAGCTCAAGGTCCAGCCCCTACAAGAGAGAATAGCTACAGATCCTCCATCCTCAGTCTTTGCAAGGGGACAGCTGTGCCAGCCGGGCTCTGGCAAGCTCCTGGCAGCATGGCAGTAAAGCTCGGGGCCCTCCTGCTGGTCCTTGTGCTTGGCCTGGCTCAGCCGGCCTCTGTCCGACGGAAGCTCCTGGTGTTTCTGCTGGATGGCTTTCGCTCAGACTACATTAGTGATGAGGCTCTGGCGTCGTTGCCCGGTTTCAAAGAGATTGTGAGCCGGGGAGTAAAAGTGGATTACTTGACCCCAGACTTCCCTAGTCTGTCGTACCCCAATTACTACACCCTAATGACTGGTGAGTAGGGGATCCCCTTCTGGGTGAGGAGGGCAAGGGCTAAAATGGAGCAGAGAACAATTAGCTCTTGGCATTCGAGTCTTGTTTAAATGCTCAGATTTCCCTAATCCTTTGGGACACCAAAGATAGACAAGAAGTCTGTGTTCTTGGCTGAGAAGTGGTTTCGTAGTTATATTGTTCACCCAAAGTGATCCCAAGGTCCCGTTTTGGATTCTAAGTGTGGAGAGCAGAGAACTACAGCTGGAGATGGCACCGGGTGACTGGAAAAGTGGTTATTTGTTTTACGAATACAAATTCTAAATAACTGTGTTTCTGAAGTCCAAGAAACAGACAGCTCTTCATGTGCCCCTGCCAAATTCCTTTTGCCTCTTTGCACTGCGGTTTTCCGTGAACCTGGAGTCATTTTGCTTTATTTATCAATGTGCTAGACTGTGGAAGTGACCGATGGGGTTCCTGAGAGAGGAGTGTGATCCTGGAGGGGGTTTTTAGGTCACACCCTTCAGCTTTCCTTAGTAATGCTACTTTGCCCTTATTTTGCCTTTTTCGGGGTAGGGTAACATGACACGGAGCATAAAAAATTGTTGTATAGTAGTTTACATTTCTCATTTTTTACCTTATGTCAGGAAGAAAAAAAAAAAAGCAAAACTCCCACTAAGCCATACTACCTGGGTCAGGAAGAGCTGGTTTGCCTAAAGATGACCTTCTGGAATTGCCAGAACTTCAGACTTCAGATATGATTCTATGAACCAGGTCACAGGTTCTAATCTGTGCAGCCTGCTCTCCGCTCATGTAGTTGGATTTGCATCTTCTGGTTTGTTTTTCAGCTAACCTCTGCAAGGGCCAGCAAGAGACTCTCAGAAAGAATTTAGCTAACTATCCAGGAAGGCTGTTAAGAATCCGCCGTTATTGCTGGTTATGCAGGACTTAGCTGTGTGTCTGAGCAGAGGGAGAACTCTATAAATGAACAGAATGGGGATGAGAATGCTGGTATCTCATTTTGAATCTCTGCAGAACTCCAGAGTCAAAGGAATCTGGAAATACCAATTGATACCTGACTTCATGTATGTGTGCTATCAACATGTGGACATAAAAATGCCATCAACTGATCCCGAAATGAAAGGGAAGAGATACTTTGGAGAATTGAAAATGAAGGCACAGAAAGAAAGATAATTCAGACTGCACACAAACAAGAAATAGATTTGTCTTTTATTTCCCCTAACAGGCAAGCAACCAATCTTAAAGACAAACAGAACTAACAAAAGTCCCTCTCGTCCTCACTTGGCGTGCTTCTCCCCTTGCAGGGAAGCAGTTTGCAGGCTGCTGGGTCACACATAGATGTTATTGTATATACAGCCCGTCTGCAGTGCTGTGCAGGGAGCTTCACACACACAGACCACCCCCACTCTAGTTGTCTTTCAGAGCCTGGCTGGGAGACCCAATTCATAAACTGCCACGTGCAGTTTTCTCAATCTCTGTGGAAAATGAACAAAATCCATTTGAGAAAGTCCCACGGCAGTAAGTAAAAGGGGACTCTTACAAACTCCACCAGAAACCAAGGCAGTGACACAGTCTTTTGTTTGTCAGATCCACATTCCTGATATTAGCACGAGGGATGACTTGCACAGAGCCTCTGTCACGCTGAGACACACCTTCTTAGCAGGCGATGGGTGTTTTCTCTTATCCTGAGAAAAGAGCCATTTTAATGGTGGGATGACATCGTTCCCATGAGTGTCTGACAAAGATTTCACCCTCACTTTCAGCCTGAGGCTGACCCGAGGAAGCCACAAGATCTCCGTACGTGTTAGAGCTGTATATTTTCAGATGGCAAATATATTATCTGATTTGAAAATCTGCTTGGTTTATAAGTTGACTTTTCTACTTTTGTAGAAACAATACTACACATAGCATGTGTCTAGCAAAGCTCATTGTGTAAACTTCTTTGGCTATGGTTTGTCTAGAACCCACTGAACAATCTTAGTCATAGAGCAGGATTTGTTGACTGAGAGATATCAGGCAATGAAGCTGGTATCCTCTCCACTATCCTTGAACCGACTCAGCTGAATTTAGACTATTTTCTCCAATATCCATACTTATTTTTCTACCTGAGGTTAAAGCATTCCTTTTATATATATACAAGGAAGGATATATCCATTGGGAATTATACTTCAACAGATGGTTTGAGCATTTGAGTGTTTTATGAACCAACAAAATCATTACGTTACATATTCTTGGTACCAAAACACATGCTGTTGTAGGGTTCCTCAGAGTTCATAAGAGAATAATCTCACTTTGTTATATGAATTATTATCCTTGGTCTTCTCTTTGTGTAATGGGGAATGATGGGTTACTGGAAAGAATGCTGGCCTGGGAGAACTTGGAATCCTTGCAGAGAAGACTTCAGCAAGCCATTGCACTGCCCTGGTCCTCTGTTACCTCAGATGCAAAATAAACTGAGATGAGCTACCAGGTCCTGAATCAGGCCAGGATTTCAGGTGCTATGGGATGTAGAAATGAAAAGTAAGCAATGTAAGGGAAATATTTTTAAGTTCTGACTGGCCCCTTGAGAGGCCTTCTTGTAAAAATTAAAATGGCTGCAACTCCCTGGAGATGAAGAATTCTGCAGGAAAGGCACAGGGACAGTGATGGGAAATGAGCAGATACACTTAGTAGGAACCTGGGAAACCATCTAGCCCAGTCACTGACCTGAGGCCACTGTGGCTGATTATTTTTTTCCCCCTCAAAACGTATTTACACAGTCTCAGGACAAATGTGAACACAATTACAATACTCATCAAGAAGATGAACCAGTTGATTGCTGGGGACACTGAATCTCAAAAAAGAGCCTTTCCATCGGGGAGTTTTCATTCAAATTGAGGAGCAGAGATATTCAGAGAATGGATATCTACAATATTCTAAAAATGAAAGGCAAGGTCTCATGGGCTAAACTGTGTCATTTCCCTACTCCCCCATTCAAGTTGACTTTTCAACCCTTAGTACCTCAGAATGTAACTGTATTTACAGATAAGACTTAAATTTTTTAAAAATTTGCCAGAGAGTGTGTGTACTCACCTGGGGTGTGTAGGGGAGAGAAAGAGAGAGAGAGAGAGAAAGAGAGAGAGAGAGAGAAAATGAGAACACCCTTTATGCCGGATGGTCATGCTTCAGTCCCTTCTCCATCTCTCCCTCCTTAGGGAATTATGGGCATGCACATAGATGCCCAGCATATTTCTCAAGACATGGGTCTGGGATTGACCGCATGATCGACCACGTGGAATTCAGTCACCTTAACCACTACACCATGGGCTGGCCCAAGAAAAGGTCTTTAAAGAGGTAGTTATGTCAAAATGAGGCCAGGAGAATGGGGGCTTATTCCAATATGATTAGTGTTCTTATAAAAAGAGGAGACACTAGAGAGAGGTGTGCACAGAGAAAATGCCAGGAAGGGACACAACAGGAAGGAGGCCATGTTCAAGGACAGAGGCCTCAGAAGAAATCAAACCTACTAATAGCTTACCTTTGTACTAGTAGCCTTCAAAACTATTAAAAAAATACATTTCTCTTGTTCAAACCACTATCCGTGGTATTCTGTTACAGCAGCCTGAGTAAACTAATACACAGAGGAGAAATGGGTAGTTTCGAAGTGCGCTATGAAGGACCCAGAGGAGAGGGTAATTTTCTTCTAGCTGGTGTAGCCTGACAAAGCATATTAAAGAGGGAGGATCTGAACTGGAATAAACAACCACAAGCGTGGTGTAAATCATTGCATCTTACTTTATGCATTAGCTCTCTTTCTGAAGCACTGGGGGTGGATCAACTTAATTCTGGTTAAAATACAACCACCGGGTGAATGCCATTGGATGCTTTCTGTTTTAATCTGCTTTACAGTGGATCTTTTTGTAAAGTCAGTCTCTCTTTGGGGGTAAATCCACATTTGATTTAAGTGACATTGAACACAAATCAATGAAAGAAAGCATTTATTCAATCCAGGTCACGGGTAGGAGAAAATGCTGCATATACTTAGCATTGTTTTGCTAAGGCTAATGCCAACATTTGTCTGCAATTCTCGAACACTTCTGGTTAAGTAATTGGGAAAAGTGGCTCCGAATGTTCTGAGTAGCAGGGAAGTTCATCTAGAATTTTTATTTTTCTGCAAATAATCTACCAAGAGGAGACCATGCACTGAAACAAATCAGCTAGACTGTATGTTAGCATTATTTTAACATGTAGTAACTAGTAAATAAGACACAGAGTGGTTGGGAGTTTTGTTTCAGACCCTGCGGAAACTGGCAGAGCTGAGGTGGGAGAGGAGGTATCAGAAGCCCAGTTCTCACATAGCAATTGAGCAGGGCCCTGAGCTGTGTCCTGGAACAACTAGAGGTTGTGCGTATGCTCTGAGACCTTGGGGCAAAGGTCAGTCTGTCCAGGACCATCAGGAGCCTGAGTAATGGTGTTATATTAATATTTTACTGGAATCAGAATAACAACAAAGATGTTAACTACTCAGAATCTGTATTTGTGCCTATGTATTTCCTATTGCATGCCTAAAAATTACAGGTGAAGCAAATTCTTACCAGATATCAAAGACTCTACATCTTCGAGTAACAGAGGAGAGGGTAAGGTATGCTTTCTGCCACTTTTAAGAAAATAATTGATTTAAATTAAAACCAGATGTTGCTTGAACCAAAGAAAGCCAACCCAGAAAGTACAGAGGGATCTTCAAAAATTTCATGTGAAGTTCATATTCTGAAAAATTATGTATGAATTTCAGATTTTTTGCACCCCAAAATTATATTTTCCTTGAAACTGTTGAAGTCCCTTCACAACAAAATTGTTCGTCCTTGAACAATTATGTTTTGTAAAAAGCCTAAGCCTTCAGTCTTCTGCATAATTCAGGGGGCGTAGGGGTGACCAGGCCCACACTCGCAGTGAGACATGGGTTCTTGTCCCATACTCAGGAAGAATGAGTCCCAGACACAGAAGAGTAGGTATTGCAGGTATAG